TCCTCTCTGGAGAGACTCACCTCGGCAACTGAGGAAATAGCCTCAAGTTGCACCAGGGATTCTAGATTGGATATTAGGAAACATTTCTTCACCAAAAGGGTTGTCAAGCATTGGCACAGGCTGCCCAGGGAAGTGGTTGAGTCACTATCCCTGGAAGTATTTAAAAGCTGTATAGAAGTGGTGGTTAGGGACATGGTTTAGTGGTGGAGTTGGCAGTGCTAGGGTAGTGGTTGGACTTGATGATCTAAAAGGTTTTTTCCAATCTAAATGATTCTATGATTCTGTGTAATGTGATGAGAAGACGGCATTTTTGTCAGTCATCAGATCAGAACCATATTTTATGATTTTTTCCTGTAGATTCTCGTGCTGCTTCGGAACCCCAAAGACACAGCTGTCTCCTATTACCACTTCTACAACAACATGCCAGTGCTGCCATCCTTTGCCTCCTGGGATGAGTACTTTGCAGCCTTCATGAACGGGAAATGTAATTTGTCCTACATGCTCGAGCATTCCTCCCTATATGGGGGGCCTACACAGGACCCTGTGCACAAGAATCTTACTCCAACATACCTTTCAAAGCATTCCGATGATAGGCAGATAGGCCCATGTTACGGCAGAATCAGGAAGTACCAGAGAATCAGTGTTTCTTTTGTCTCTAATTCAGAACTGGAAGATACCCCTAAAAAGCTTTAGCCTGACTTCCATTCCCACAGCAAAGCTTGTGGTTCGGTGCTACCTAGTGGCCAGAGCTAGGGTATCTTGTACTGGCCTCAGCCAAAGAACAGACATGTTGAGCCAGTCACCTCTTCACCATCCTGATGTCACATTTAGAGAGCTGCCTGGGCTGACTCCTCTGATTTGATAAGGGCCTATTTTGGGGAATACTCTACACAACTTTGTCCCTTTGTCTGCAGTGACCTGGGGATCCTATTTTGACCATTTAGTGGAATGGAACAAATACATCGACCACGAGAGGATCATGATGATAAGCTATGAGGAACTCAAAGAGGTATGGCATCTTACCCAGCTCTTCGTTGACTAGTGAGTGCACTGTGCACCCCTCCTGATACATATGACTGTGGGAAGAAGAAACTCTTAGGCCAATCCTATCTGCCCCTTCAGCCTTTCTGAGCTACTTTTTTATGTTTGTGGGAGGCCCATGGGGGTTAGGAGGAGGATAGACTTACCCCTTTGTGTAAGAAATCTTATCTGGCACAAGCACAGTTGCTTTTGGAAGAGAAGACAAGACCCTAAAGCTAAGGCTACCACACGGGGGTTCCCTTTCTGACAGAGCTGCTAGAATCCCTTGGTGACAGTGTGGGAAACAACCTCCTCTGCTGGGCTTCCCACCTGCTGCTGGTTTCATGCCACAGCCACAGGGTCAGGTATTTTGGTTTCACCTCTGCTATGTTCCTTTGGCCAGGACCAGGTACTGGGAATGAAAAAGATTGCTGCCTTCTTTGGATTCTCCCTGTGTGAGGAAGATATTTCCAGAATTGCCAAGAAGACTAGTTTCCAGGCCATGAAAGAAAAATCCAAGGAAACCCATGGAAAGTTTGGGGACATCCTCTTCCGCAAGGGTAAGTCTCTGCAAAAGGAGAATCAGCCTTCTAAAGCAGAACTACAGAAAGAATTCTGAATAGGTTTCCTCACTTAGCCATGAACTCACTGGGCTGTCTAGGAAGGACAGGTATGGATGCAATCTCTCCTGTGGCATCCTGTACAATAAACTTCTGCTGTTGGTGGGATTTGGGGACTGAGTGAAAACATACCACAGTGACAGGCTTACAGTCCTCAGCCATTGCTTCTATGTTGCTCTATTTCCCTGTGGCAGCCTCATTTAGTTAGGCAAGTGAGGTGTGAAGGGGGCCAACACTGGTGGGGGCCAACACTGGTGTAGGTTATGCTAACAATTACCAAATCTGTTTGGGCTGAATGGTTATGCTTTACAGAGAGGTGGTGGTCAGATGATGAGGCTGATCATGGATCACAGTTCCAGGCTGCACATATCACTTCATGAATGTCCCCTTTGGGAAGAGGTGTGCTAATGGGACAAGAGGCTCCTGAACCTCAAGGAAATGTATTAAATGTATTGCTTACTATTCTGCTGGCCTCACAGGCACCTTCTTGTTATGTACTGAGTGAAAGCTGAGGAGTAGTCTTGATATGGTTCCTCTTAATGGACTTGTTAGTGGTGGCCCCAGAGATGGTCTGACCTGGAGCCAGGGCCAATGCTCTGGCAGTACAGCTGCTTCCCATAGCATCAAGAGTTGTGAGTTTCTAACTACCATGGGCATGGGCTTGCTTTAATTCTTTTCCTTTACCACTCCTTGGAGGAAGATGGATTTAACCACTCTCCTCTACCACCTGCCCCATTACTCTAAATAAATTCCCCCTTCAGAGGGAAGCATTCATGAATGAGATTTCCCTTGTGACAAAACCAGGTTCCCCTCCCTTCCATGTCAAAGCTTTATGAAATTGCCTTGGAAACCCTCTGTGGGAAGGGAAGGCATGCAGGCAGCCCACCAGCAATGTTCCCTGTGGCCTGCCTGCAGCCTTTAATTCTTATCTTTGCTACCTTGCCTCTCTCAGGCAATCAAACCTCTCTGGGGCATAAATCAAATCCTTCCCGCTCATGTGGGCAATGATTCTGCCCCATTGCTGCCTAGGTATTATTTTCTCTCAGGAGCAGCTGCCTTCAGTTTTTGGTACTTGTACACAGGGATTGTTGGAAACTGGAAAGACCTCTTCTCTAAAGCTCAGAATGAAGAAATGGATGAAAAATTTGAAGACTGCCTAGGAGGAACGAAGCTGGCAGCAAAGATGAATTATGATGTGTACTGCAAGGCCTGAAAATAAGCAGATGAGCAGCATGACAGCAAGTCGTGCTCCAGAGATGATTCTTCAAAGGTGGACAGTCCCATGTTTCCTTTTCATGAGAAAAGAGAGAAACCCCTCAGAGATCTACCTGGCATCTCCAAGACAGGTGGTAATTCTTAAGGATGTGCTCGGCCTAGGGCATGTGCTTTGCTTGATGCAACCAAATAAAATGTGTGTACGCCTTGAGTGAATGTCTGGTATCCTTCCAGGAGGGACATGGTGCACGAACATTATTGCATCAGTCTGGTGGTGTCCCTGTGGTGCTTGAGATCGTGAATGAGGCTCCTGAGGCACTCAGTGGTGAAGCAGAGGGACCAGCACAGGGCCTCTCCTCCTGGCACACAGTGGACTTGACATGGTTTCATTGTGGGTCTGAGCCCCCAAAATGTCTGTGTACTGAGTTTAGATCCACCATGGCTACCCTGGTGTTGACATTTGTGCAGTGAGGTCAGAAAGGCCTTTGACACATTGGCAAGATCCTCCCTCTGATGCACGGTGGGACTTCTCGATCTCTTACTGCTGCCAACTCTTAACTAATGAAGAGCTATATGTTTTATGGCGTGTTTGCTCCCACTGGACTCTCTGGGAACAGTCAGGTATGTGGCAAGTGGGAAGAAACAGGACTTTTGAATGGAAGGATCAGGGGAAAGATGCCCCTTGATGACTCTGTTGCTGAACTATAAAAGCTGCATACGTTTATGCTACATAGATATCATTTCCACAGCCTCCTTGCTGGTGTAGATGTTCTTGCTACAATCTGTGAAGAACGTGCTGCATGACTTCTTGTCACAATCACTCTTTTGGAAAATCAGAAAAGATAAGGAAATGCTCAGTTTGTCTGCAAAGGAAATCCAGTTCTTTGGAAAAAGGGTTCCTCTGACATATTCCCAGACAAATGTATTTGCAGGACTCTCACACTCGACTAAGATTAAAAACTGAGCAACCTGCAATCAAAAATGTAATTAACAAAGCTGAGAAATTGGGAGCCCCTCAGGGCTCCCCTCACCTTGCCCATGGCCCAGGACCCCATGTCAGTCCCTGGGGCCATCAGCCCCTGCCTCAGCAATGCTGCAGCAGGTTGGTCACCAGCCTGCCCTGTCTGGCCACAGGCCCTGCCAGGCTGGACCCATCCATGAAACCATATCCTGGCCCATCCTCAGCCCATCACCTTCCCCAGACAGGTGCCTGATGCCCCGGTGGCCTTGGCTGCCCTCCTGCTGGCTGGGGTGATGGGACAGGCCCTGGCTTCCAGGCCCTGCCTCATATCTTCCTGACAGTAATGTTGCAGATTTGGTTCTGGTGGGACACTCACAGCCTGCTTCTCAGTCAGGGTTTCTGAGCTTCTGTGCACGAGCTGCCCATGTGGAATTGCTCTGCGTGAAGAAAGGTATGTTTGTTTGAACCTGGTGATTCTGGGTTTGTAGGTTTTGATTCCCAGAAGGGTAGGACTTTGTCTAACTCTGGGCTTCCACAGATGAAAAGAGACAAGCCACCATGTCCCATAATTTTGTAATTAACTTTTTAATCTGTTCCTTAATACACGCCCTTTACTACTTCCTACATGGTGATATCAAAAGCTACCTAGATAACAGAAAGCAGTGTGCATCTCATTGTCTGCAAGGAGTTGAACAAGGGAACAAGCCTGATCAGAAATGGGAAAACATTCAAAAAGGCCTTTACTAAGATGAAAATCTGTCATCTCCAGATTTTTATTTTTATTTTTCCCCTGCAGAAGCATTTTGTAGCCTAAGGGATCTTAGCAGCCCAGACACTTTGGAAGCTCTGAAATCCTTTGAAACCGGGAGTCATGATGTGTTTCTCACCATCTTTCCCAAAACTGGTGAGGCTTTCTTGCTTGATGAAAAGCCCGCTGCTGCAGTTCAGATGTGTGTGACTGTATGTAACACAGCAATAAAGCCCGCGACAGGTTAATGATGACTTCAGCCTGCTGTGGAGGCACAGCAGCAGGGGTTGTTCAATGGACAAGGGCAGGAGGACTGGTGTTTCCATAGACTTCCTCCACTGCAGGACATGACCTACATTATTCCTGGGTGCTGGGTGGAGATACAGGCCCCCCTGCCAGCTTGACAGCAGGAAAGCACTTCTGGCTTTTAAAACAACATTTCTCACAGAAATTATAGCAATATGACTTCGAGAGATGAATGCAGACTCTCCTGCTGGTTAAAAGGCTGAAACTGGATTTGGTCATTAGGAGGTAATGTAGTGATTGCACAGTAACACCTCTGAAAAGGAGTAAAAGTCTTGGATGTGATCTAAATTACTTTAAACTGTGAAGACTGTTACTTCTGACTGGCTCCTCCAATTTTTCTTACTTTCTTTTCAGAAATTGATGAACTGTATTCCTTTTTGATTAAGTGGTCATTCCAGGCTGATTTACATTTGTTTCTGTAGGTACATTCATCATTTTTTTCTGACTTGTGATATCTCATCATTTCCCAACTGATGTTACCCAACCCTACTTAAAAGATTTCCTTCTCCAGACTCTCAGTCTATGTATGCTTATGGGTGTACAGGCTGGAAATCTTGGCTATAATAAAACTGCTCCTTCCTAAGACACTCAGCTCTTAGTATTTTTTCTTGCTATTTTTAGCTTTATCGTTAGTCCAATGAACTAAATATTTCTAGTGAAATATTTATTTTGTATTTGTTTCCAGTCCCATTAGAGAATTAAAAAATTATCTTCCAGAAGAACAATATCAACCTCATGCTCTGCCCCACTCATGCTTTTTCAAAGCAAGACTAAGCTGAATCTTCCTTTTTATTTAACCTGAGACTACCGTCATAAATAGCATTTTTATACAGATTAGTTTTTCATTTCCTGTGTAGAAAGTCTTTTCTGAGATTGTGTGTAGGCTTTAATTATACATTTAGAAATGTAAAATGCTGTTTAGAGAGACTGTGGACACATGTTCTCTTGCAGCTGCAACTATAATGGCTCCATAGGTTATTGCTGCCTTCAGCTCATCCCTGCCAAAGACAACCACTGCCTCAAATTTCCTTGGGGAGCTGCTCCCTGGCCTCTTTCATCCAAATAATCCAAACTGGGATCTCTTTAAACTAATTCTGAAAGGACCTTGAGTTGTCCAAAGCTTAGAGGTTAGTCTACCTAGATATACCATGTCCGTTACAGTGGACGCACCATAATCATCCAGAAGGCTGTAAACTTCTAAAGGTTACATTTAAGTTTAGCTAAACAATGACAATCAACATTTAAAATATGGAAACTCAGTTTCTTCTGAGTGAGAACAAAATATAACAGACCTTTTAAGCCATTCTGCTTTCTCCTCACAGTTTTTTGACCCCGTTCAACAACATTTCATGGCATTTTGGGTTGCAGCAGGCTCCAGACAGGCTGAATATTCCTGAGAAATTTGAACTAGTGGCTGCCCCAAAGGCTAGGCTTACTTCTGTCTTCTGACTGTAGTTGTCCGCTCCTTCTTTTGCATGAGCTCTTATGTTTGTCTGACACTCTAAGCTTTTTGAAGCGGCATGAAACACTCACTTTTGGTGGCAGCAAGCTGTCAGATTGTCGCAGCTATCTTGCGCAAACCTCACCCCTAGTGCCTCTGGGTCTCCAAGAAAGAATTTTTCTGTTGCTTCAGAGGCTTTGCTTTGTCATTTTTTGCTTCTTTCAGCCATCTCTTAATATCTGCCCTTGCTGCAGGCTTTCTGCCTGCTGGGTCATGCACCCACGCTCCAGATGACTTTCCCAGCTCAGGGCTCTCCTTCAACCGGAGGAGACAAGTTGCAGCAAGGCAGACAAGCAACCCGGCCACTGAAAGAGAACAGAGTAAGCACAACATTGTGTGCACACACCTCTTAGTATCCTCCTGCTATGTAAAAAACCTTTCTTCCATCATGTTTTTCCATAGTCAGTTTATTGCAAAGAAAAAAATAAATACAGTCAAGGAGTTGGGAACAATTCAAAATTCAATCTGTTATTCAACCCAGGTAGTGCCTGGACATTATGCTTGAGGGCTCCTCTGTTCTTTAATCTTTGCTCCACAGTTCAGGTCCCACAGTTGAATATAAACCTAAGGTCATGAAAGGAAGGTAGCGGTGAAGAAGAAGAAACCTTTTCTTCTTTACATAATGTATCTTTACATTCACAGTTGCTGAATACTTATTCCTTTTCAACAGTGACTTGGGAATTTTCTTGACTGTGCAGTTGAATGAAACAGGCAATTCAGTGATGAACATCTGAAGACAGTAAGTTATGAGGTATCAAACAAGCTGAGGTTAGTGTTATTTAAAGAAAAGCATGTTTCAGCTTTTAGTCAGCGTATTACTGAAATCATGTACAACAGGTCATAACTACCCATTAAGATCGGTTCAATGATGCTTCAAAACAGAAATGGTCAGGAAATTACTATTCCTGCAAGTGAATTTAGGAGAATGTACATTTATGCAGTCCAGTTGCTGGATTCTATTGAAATCTGAAATATCAAAACACATTTTCGCAAAAAAGTAGAAAATTTTACATAAAGCCTTCTATTAAGTCAAAAAACCCTTTTCTTCTTGGAAAACATTTTGGCAGGAGCTCTTATCATATACATAGAATTTTGAAAGACTAAAAATTGGGTTTGGCCATGACATAATTCTAATGAAATCCTTTCGGAAAGGAGAAATTTTGCCAACTGAAAAAAAAAAAGTCTAAAGAAGATATGCTTCACAAACAAAAGCACTTACAAAAGGAACCTCTCCCCTCTGGTTCCCTACCTGTTCTGCCTCTTAGTTTTCCTTAGTGAAGCTGGGACCCAAAGACTTTTCAGTGCAAGCCCACTCAGGGAGAGCTATAAAGCCCACAGAAACACTGCTGTAACTCTGCCAAAGGTACAGCCAAAATACAATTCTGCACAAATTCTGTATCAGAATTAGAGGCTGGGAATAAGAAAAGTACCTGAATTGTCTGGGTCTCCTTGACTGATGGAGATTGAGGCAGCTGCAAACAG